GCGTACCAAATTGGTTTCGCTGTTGATATTGGCGTCTTCTTCTTTCGACGTCCGCCGTTCTTCTACTTTCAAACTGGATTGCTAGCTCAAATAACTTTTCCAGTGTAGTCGGATTTCTTAATTCAATAAAGTCTTGCACTTGGGGTAGTAACCTCGGCAAAATCACTTGAATTATTTCAGGATCCGGACGGTTTCCATACAAGAGCTTGAAAACGTGAATTTTTCTTAAAATAAAGCTCGAGAGGTTTTCGATTCTTCTTTGTTGATATATACTGAAAAGTTCCGTTTCTAATTTCGCACGATCCCTTACAACAGGGAAGGCTTTTAGTAGGGCAGTCTTGAAATTTTCGTAAGTATAGGTGGGACTTCCTGCTTGACCCAAGAGACTTCTGCCGATACATTTGAACCAGTTAAGCGCTTGGCCCCTCAAAGCGCTGGTAGCTAAGGTAACTTTTTGAAACTCGTGCACGGGGTAGAGCATGAAGTGGTCATCCAATTTTTCCAAAAAACTGGTTACCGGTGAGTTTCCATTAAACGTTGCTTCTGGTTTCATCGAAGCGCGCATGGTCTGGACGATGTACCCAAATCCTTCCAGGGCGGCAGCTGGCATTTCTGGATTCTCCTGCAGGCAGCACAGGTTCTTCTTGAAACTCGGCCATGGTTATTCTTCGTGGCGCCACTATCAGGTTCAATGTTTCTTCTAACCTTCTTCGGAAACATACAATGACCTGACTAGGAACAGAGAGCTTACTAAAGCTATGTTCACTAATTGTAGTAAGTAGACAGGATACAGACGAAGGGTATACAAAACCCTTTATTTTTCTTTATATACAATGACTTCCGTACTTCGGAATACAATGACCCTCCACTCGGGGTCTAACGTAAAAGATATCAAAATAAAACTAAACTCTAATTTAACTTTAGAATAATACACGTGGAAGATTGGCCTTATAATAACAGGAAGCGTATGTAGCACAGAGACTGTGAACACTACAATACGTTTAATTTATCAAGAGGATTAAAACCTCTGGCCTGGAAGGCAAAGTAGCAACTGCGTAACTTCTAAGGTAAGCGGCCTGCTTCGAACTCACTGCTTCCTCTCTCTTTCTGCTTGGCAAAAAGGCCACACTTAAATACTTGGCGTTCGCCAGACAAACTTTGCATAAAAATCCTTCACGCTTATAATTCTGGCCGGAAGTAGAAAATAAGAAGTGATAGTAAAGATTTAAAATAAAATAAACGTTAGTAAAACTTAAGATCCTTACAATAATACTTATAAATGAACATTAGTGCGGTCTACTTTCCAAATTACTGTCTGCTTCATAAATTTTTTCGTGGGCTTTTTGTAAATACAACTGTTTTTTTTAATATTCACACAACCAAATAAGAACTTGTTATGAACTTACTTAAAAATAAGAGATATGAAAGAAAATACTGACTTGTCAGATAATTTATAAGTTGTTTTTCCCGCCGCCTTAGTGTGCCGTCGTGGTGTAGTGGTTAGCACACTCGGCGCATATTCAAGAGATACGTGGTTTTGATTCCTGGCAAGGGTATTGCTCATTTTTCATCTCTGCTGTTTTGAAATAACTTAATGTCTCTATAGTGGTGCCCGAACTAAAAAAGGTGGTGCATGATAATTCTCCATATTAAAAACTATTGCTATGACTTTTTTTTTTTTTTTTTTCATATTCACTATATTATTTCTGTGAATTCTAACAGCGGCCAGCTGCCTAAAAGAGTTATAAAAAAGAAAAATCTATATCATGGTTGTAATGAGTCCAGTCAGTGTTATTTCATTAAAATATTTAATGTTTCTAATTAGATATCTCGTGATTTAAATGCATTTTTATTCAAATCAGTTGGCTTAAAACGCAGAAAAAATATTCTTAAGAGCTATGTTTTATTGCTTTTAGTCACTTGATTTGATACTAAGTAACCGAAAGTTCAGATTTGAAAGTTAAATGTTTTATTCTTTACTGAATGACAACAGGCTGATATGTGGTTATAATAAGTATTTTATTTGAGGCAATGGCTACACATTGCTTTCAAACAGTCGAATTTGTGGATTAAAAGTCGAAGTTGAATATCTTACATTTTGCCGAATGGTAACAGTCATGCGCCGGAGATAAAAATGTTCCATTTCAGGTGAAATAAACCAAACACAAGTTCGGAATTCAAAATTCGGTCTTCAAGGTACCCATGTTCTGGTGAAGAACAGTGTGTATTGAAAATTCGGTGACTGTCGGTGCCGTCGTTTATCACAATGCAAGAAACATACATACATACATTCAGTCTTCATTATTTAATTTTTTTTTAAATAATGCATTGCGATGGCATTTGGTGGCAGCACTTTAAAAAGTGATTTTGACACAAAAAGTGAATTTCGAGACTAAAGCACTCTGGCATTAAAAATACTGAAGACTAATTATTAAAGACAAATAGGATCTCCGGTATTAACTATTGGTATTAAAAAGTGGAATTTACAAAATAACGAGATTAAATCATAAAATGAGATATTTCTTCCAGATTTATGTTAATTCCCTTCTCAAAGTAATGAAGACTTTGCTTGTACCGTTAATCTTAATAATGTTAGTTTTTCTAAGAAAACATTAGTAACATTTTCTATTCTTTAATAATGTGAATTCATGCACTAAGTATACAGATAATTATTTTCTGAATGAGTTAAAATTGAAGTCTGCAATTCTACAAGTTATTAGAAAAGTTTATAAGGTATTTCTCTCGCCTTCTTAACATGCCTTTGTGGTGTAGTGGTCAGCACACTCAGTGCATATTCGAGAAAACGAGGTATGTGGTTTGAGTCCCAGCGAGGGCATTGCTCATTTTTTATCTCTCCTGCTTTCAAAAAATACCTAATGTCTCTACAGTGGTTCCCGAACTAAAAAGTGGAGAATAATGATTCTTCACTACCAGGATTTGGCTGTTGGGTCTCCTAAACCCCACTCGCCCTTTAAAAGGGGAAGTATATAAGTTATTTCTCCTGCCTTCTTAGCATGCCTTCGTGGTGTAACAGTCAGCACGCTTGACTCGTATTTAAGAGGTCTGTGGTTCGAGTCCCGGCGAGGGCATTGATCATTTCTCACATCTCCTGCTTCCAAAAAATCCTAATATCTCTACAAAGTCAATAAGAGTTTTTGCTACAGAAATATAGAAAATAGCATCGACGGATCTATAGTCAAGACTAGCATTCGACTGCTTTTTTTAAATGGAAGTTTGAAGTACAACAAATTCGCACTAAAATTAAACACTTGAAATTTAATAGTACTTTAAATTGGCCTAAACTTTTGCTTAGTATTAAAAATTTTAAAATGCAATTTACAATCACTAAAATAGATAAAGCAAATCATAATTTTAGCATTATTTGAAAAATTTATTACAAACAAATTTTTCACGCAGAATTTTATATTGCCAATCATATATGTATAGATGTTCAGAAAAATTGAGAACTCTTTGTTAGAAGACCTTCCTTGTTAATATTGTCTTACTTCTGTAAAACTGCTTCATTTTGCTTTGTGAAATTATTTACATAGTACTAATACTATTTATATTTGAAACATTTAGAAATTATTTAATATAAATATTTCATTCATAATTAATTGCATTTTGCCGATAGACCACTGTATCACATGTATGTGTATGTTATGGTGAAACACCGAAATCTGGAGAATGCCATCTTTCACCGGTGAATGTCAACATTCACCTAGTCGCTTGGTGTATGTCCGAAATATTTTCCAAATACTCTTATTTCTGTCTTACACCGGTAAATGTCGACATTCACCTTGTACTAATGGTGAATGTTGAACATATAAGAATATTAGGTAAAAGTTTACAACTGGGTGCCCCTTGTTTTTTGGCGATTCTTTTTTTGACGCCAAGATCGTTGCCAGGAAGACAGTTTCAAGATGGCCGCTACACAAAACAAAAATAACAAGTCAAAGAATTTCAAAACTCTGTGTCCATGTACACATCGATCTGTTTTCACTAAAAAAACATCCCAGAATTCCATAAACTAGGCATTGCGCACTGCTTTAAATTTGTCCATGTACACATCAATCTATTTTTATTTTATAAAAATCAGGAGGCTAAAACAAAGTTAAACTATCATGGTAACCAGAAATGAGATTTCATCGCAAACATTTTACAAAAAATTGTGGCTGATCGAAGGGTACCCAATTCTACAGTAGAGCCGAATATTACTCGTATATTTTCTTCTCCGTCATTCAGTCTCGAAAAAACGCACTTGAGCTTAAGAACTTAAAACACGCAGTACATTAAAAATGAGAAAGGAAAATAATAGAAGTCAGAAACTTACTTAATTATACAGTATGTTCTAAATGAGAAAATAGAATAATAGTAATAAGAAACTTACTAAATTATGTGATTCAAATCTTATTTATTGCAACAACTTAAACTATTATGACACTTTATGACCTCTCTTTTCGACCTACACCAGAGCATATCTGCGATTGTCGACATACACCGGTGAGGGTCCGAATGTACAAGAATGTAATGCAATATTCGATCTTTCGCCGACGTATTTGGTGAATGTTGACATTCTCCAATTTCGGTCTTTCACGGTAACATGTATATCACATTCTTTAAAAGTTTCCTTTATGGGATTTTCCGGGTGGGTGACTTAAATTTTCTTTTCAGTGTAAAATAATTCTATGAAATTGCTTATCTTAATGCAGTATAAAATAAATCTCAATGATATGTATTTCCTCAAGCACTAGCCATGTGAAATATTTATGCAAATTGAGTTTCATATATGCAAAATGTGATTTATTTGATTGAATAGTATAACTTTCTGTTAATTTTTTTTAATTATAAAAAGTATGCGAGTCATGTCATTCATTCTTTACAGTATAGCATATGTATTCCTTTTACAACCTAACAATATTTATAAAGTATTGTTTCTTGACTTGATTATGTACATATTTATTTATGTGTATATAAATGTGCTTTCTCCTACCTCACAGTACAAAATATTTCTTCAAAAATTATTAAGTTGTTTTGGAAAGAATCACCATTCACAAGCAGATAGTACAGCTCCCCTGTCTCGACCCTTGCTGGAACATTTTGGACAGACAAACTCTAGTGGAAATTATACAACAAATAGTTCACAGGTAAAGTCTGCTCATTTTATTTCATGTATTTTTATTCCTGTCGTCCAAAGTTTAGATATTAATTTGTTGTTTACATAAAGGAATGGAAGATTTAACAGTGAAATACAGTCAAAAGTTGTTAATTCGGACACCCATAATCCGGAATGATCTATAATCCGCACCTCAAAGCTACAAACGTCGCGTTGACATATGCGCATAATATGTTTACGCATGTGCATTTAATGTATAACGGACGGTATAAGCTAAGCTAAAATTATCTAATTCAGTTAATGTTACAGATTGCGTTGTTCCTTAATCTTCGAATTGGATTCGGCTTATTATTTTTTGCTGACTGTTAGAGCAATTTTATAAAAGTAAGCTTAAACTTTCGATTATGTCAAATAGAATTTCCTAGCTACCAGCTACAAGCATCGCGTTGACGCATGCGCATAATATGTTTAAGCATGTGCATTTAATGTATAACGGACGGTATGAGCTAAGCTAAAATTATCTAATTCAGTTAATGTTACAGATTGCGTTGTTCCTTAATCTTCGAATTGGATCTGGCTTATTATTTTTTGCAGACTGTTAGAGCAATTTTATAAAAGTAAGCTTGAACTTTCGATTATGTCAAATAGAATTTCCGATATATATTTACTAATATGTAAAGGATCTACAAAGCGAAAGTACGTTTCGAAGTCCATTAAACAGAAAGTTGCTGCAAAAAAATAATTAAAGGTATATCCTTTGATGACCTAATCATTCCGAAATATGTTTATCAATTTCACACTGCTCTGGGGCAGGGAGGGAAACGACACGGCGCGCAATGAATTGGAAGTTGATCTGTCAGCACTATCCTTATCTTCAGGGCAGATGTTTTTATTTGATTTAGCTTATAATTCCTTACTAAATGTAGTATTTCATCTCGATGTACTCCGTCTTCGATATGATTTAAATCAAGTTCCTCGTCATTATAATTCGCTTCTGATAGTGAAGAAAGTGGCACAGAGTTTATTGAAAATGAAAAAATTTCGATTGACAAATTAGTCGGTATTCTCGACTCAGCAATTATAGGACTTGAATAGCGGAACTTTGTAACTAAACAAAAAATTATGTCTATTTAATAGAATTAAAGAGAAAGTATTATCACATGAAACGAAGCAACTTAAACAACTTACATTGAAAGAAATGTTTAATAAAGTAAACAAATAAATATTAAGCTTTTTCTTTTTGTAAATTTGATACCCTTTAGATAATAATTGTTCTTTATTTCATAAATTACGGTTTCATATTTTTAATTTTATAATTTCTGCGTGCTATCTTACCAGATTTAAACTGATGATCTGTAATCCGGAAAAATCGATAATCCGGAATCGCTGAAGTCCCGACGAGTCCGGATTAATGACTTTTGACTGTATATTCTTAAAGTCTTTCCAATTATTTTGTTTCTTTTGTATCTGTGGTTTCATGCTTAGATAAAAGTGCTAAATGCTGCAGTTTTCTGTTATTAATGACTACCGTGAAACCTTTGAAGTTGAAACTGAACAGAGCAGATAAACTAAATTATGGAAAATTTGATTTAATAAGGCTTTTATCTGTTATACATTAAAGCATGTACAATGCTCATGAGATGCCCATATGAAACGAAATAATATTAATATGTTTATGGAATGATTTTCTGCACGTAAGAATTAACTCCCTATTGAAAATTGTTTATAACTTTTTAAGTGCTTAATGAATTTTCATGAAACAAAAAACGTCTTGGCCCTTTACAGTGGTAGAATTTATTACATGATATCTAATTTATGTTACTGAGGATATCAATGACAGACCATGGCCCAACATCTAATCTTGCATCAGTGGGCTCATCTGATATCCTGGTATGGATTGTGTGTCAGATTTAAACCACTTTGGCGAGATGCCCGTCTTTGTGATTTCTGAGGATTTCAAGTAAACATTTCCTGAATCACTTTCACATTTTCGTCTTCTACATGTTTAGGAGTGACTGCATGTTCTGACCTCTGACACAGAATTTATGTCATTTATTTTTATGTAGTGGCAATTTCTTATGGTCTTTGTATGTACCATGGCACAAGGTCCTTTTCCACTTTTCCTCCATCTGGGCACTTGTACCATGGACCAGAATGCCAACTGAGCCTGCTCGTGCAAGGCTAGATATTGCAACAGGGTCTGCTACTGAAACTTGCAATGACATAAATGAGATATCATGTAATATATTCTACCATTGTAAGGAACAAGATGTTTTTTTGTTTCAATGTAAATTCATTAACAGTTTAGAAAGTGATAATTTTCAACAGGAAGTTAATTCTGAACCTCCATGTAGATAAGAGGTTTTTTTTTTTTTTTTTTTTTTTTTTTTTTTTTTTTTTTTTTTAAGTAAATATTCTGGGAAATAAACATTTTTGGTAACAGTTGATAATTTTGAATGAGTAATATTATCTGCTACCTTAAAGTTCCTTCTTCAAAAATGCTGTATGTAAGCAAATGGTAGAGCAAAGGATATACTTCTACTCTTCCCAAAGCAAAACATTATTCCGCAATTCAAAAACGATCTGAAACATGTGACATTAAAATATCTAAGCACAAACAAATTAAGCAACAGAATAATCATTAATCAGAAAGAAGAATGACAATTTTTAGTGCAGGAATTTGGATCTAAAAACAGCTCAGAGTTTGAGGAGATTTCCTTTAAATTGAGAACCTGTAAGGTTCATTAATATTCATTTTTATTCCTCATATTCAGTTTCATTGATCAGTAATAAGCATGTAAATTTATGGGCAGTGCAATATTGGACTGTAGTCATCTTCTTTTGCACTTTGAAATGAATGGAGATCCAGATTCCCCCCCCCCCCCATGATACATTGGATAAGTGAAACCTTGGGTGTGGAGGCAGATAATTTTTTTTCTTTCTTATAAAAATCATATTTCAGTGCAATAAAATTTAAAAAAACTATCTGTGACTGAATCTGATGGGTTAACCTATGTGTTGTAGATATTTATCGTAATTTTAAAATGCATGTTCTAAATATATGCATGTTAAGCTGCATGCCGTAAACATACTTCATTTAAGCATAGTCTGCATTAAAGTATTATATTGTAAATATTTGTTAATACACTCAACTCACATTAGAAGAAATTAGAATATGAGACATTTTCTGTTGTAACAAAAGATAAACTTTAGTTTTTATAGTATTCAAATAAAGAGCAATCTTATATTTCCTAAGGGAAAAAAGTCATATTTTAAATTTGAGGATACCTGCAAATCTTAGTAGCTTCAGTATTTCAGAAGGGTTTTTCACTTTTTGGTTCCATTCAGTGCACATTTATAGAATAAAAAGACTTGATTACCTGTGGTTGTAATCTGGATGAGGAAAATGGAACAAGCACGTTATATCTAAGGCCCGTATCACATGACGTTTGTTTCACACGAACAACTGTTTCGAACAATTTTTCTGCTTGGTTTACTATTGAAAGAAAGACGTGCGACTTTTTCCTTCCTTTCGAAAAAAGTTGCAAGTTGTTCGTTTTCAACCAATCAGCTATCAGCGTCGAATGCTGTTAGCTTGTTTGTAATGGAGAACCAGTTTCCCCTGTGTTAACCCCAAAGCGAGCTGTGGTGATTGGCTGTTGTGACAAAGCAGAAAAATTGTTCCAAACAGTTGTTCTTTCGAAACAAACCAACGGGTGATAGCAGCTTAAGAAGCTTCAGTGTTTCACAAGGATTTATACTTCTCATTTGTATTTGGTTTACATATATGGCTCAAAAGGGTTTAAGCTGTAAAGGACGCATTTATGATGATTAATTTGATGTAGCTGGTGCAATCTGGGCGCCCTTTCTTGAACAATTACTTTTCACTTTTATAACATATATGAAATAAGAAAAATATAAATGATGAATTTCATGTTAGCATCATGAGCATTACGTAAAAATCATGCAACAAGGATTATTATAAGCATATTACTTTTAGGCTAGAAAGGAGAAATTACTGAATTAAATTGGAGTCTTAAGAGGCTATTACAAATTAAAATTAGGATTTTATTTATTTTTTATTTTACGTTTATATAGTTAACATCATTTTCATTTGATCTAAACAAACTTATGTCATATTTATGATGTATATATACTGACTACAACTTTTCAGCTGTGAAATGTCTAGAAATTTATATATTTTAAAATTATTATTGTTGGAAAAAAAATAAATAGAAAAAAGTGCAAAAAGTTTGTGAAAATATCCAGCAGAATCAATTTTAAAAACATATTTCTTTTGATAATTTTAAAAGCCCAGATCCATTAAAATAGCATTTTGATTTCAAATCAAATGTTCTTAAAAGTATTTGCTAGTAGAACCTTGATCTATCATTTCCAGAATAATTGTTCCCCTCAAAAGACAAATCCATCATTTCCCCCCCCCATTCATCATTTGTAAATCAAGTTCATGGTACGGCATATTGTGTATGAATTGTCGAAGAAAAAATTTAAATCCTATTATACTATAAATCTATATTACCACTGCTTTGCTCATGGTCCCCAGCTCAGTATTGGTATTATTAATGTCATTTTATATTATTATTTTATTACAAAATGCAGTAAGTTTATTTCTGTTAATTTTCAGGGGTTTCAGGTTTAGTTTTCAATTTTGGTGTACTAAATGTATGAAAGAAGGAAGCAAAGAAGGTAAAAATGAATTAAAAGGGTGCCCAACTTTGCTGATACTAGTAAAACTTTACAAAAAATCAAAGCATTTTTCTATAGGCAAAGTGAAAGTGATGTTACATGAAAACATTTTTTAAGTCTTGAAACATCCTCTTTCACCTCAGGGCCAGAATTTGGCTAAGGACATTGCTTGACTTTTTATTTAAAAGCATTTTTTAATATAATATATTTATGTTGAAAGTATTAAGAGTTATTTATTTATAGTATGTTACTTATTTATGATATTTCCTGTATTCACCTTTTTTTTTTTTTTTTTTTTTTTTTTTTTTTTTTTTTTTTTTTTTTTTTTTTTTTTTTTTTTTTTTTTTTTTTCTTTCTTCTGTCCTCTTGAAAAACAACAGATCACATTTTTACCGTAATACAAAGGAATGTGTACTCACCTTTCTCATTATGATGATATCGAATTATGTTTGGATTTGCAGTTGTATGAGATTCTGAGTACTTTCTTTTTCAAGCAAAATGCTTGATCAATCATTTTTACATTTTTCAGGAGGGATCATCTGAAGGTAGTGTGAGTAGTAGCCAAACCACTGCTCATTCTCGGCATTCAGCTCATATTCCATTGTACATTCCTGGCCGCATACTGCACATGAGTCGTGTTGATACTAGGTACAGTTTATTTTTTCTTAATTTTTCTTTAAAAACTGGTTGCTTAAATTTTCTTAAAAGTAAATAAAAAGAATTTTTTATTATATAAATATTTATAAAATTAGAAAGTCTGTGTGAAAATGTTGAATTGTTTTGGGAAAATTAGTGCCATTTGACAGAAAAGGTAATTAAGATGTACATTTTTTGCTGGATGTATATTATATTGCAATTAGAGCATATATAGCCAGCAGTCTTCATAATCATGTATCAATATCAATCAATATGTCTTCATAAGATGTTGGCTTGCAGTACTTGATTAGTTTTTGCTTCTGCAATAGAACCCTTTCTGCCCATATTAATTAGGACAGAGTAATTTTAGATAACACTTTTTTTTTAATTGGAAGAGAACATTCCAGTAGAAAATTAAAAAGGCAAGCTTAAGTTGGTGTACATTTTGATTAAAACTTTTTTCGTGTGTCTGATTACTTTCAGACAGTTTTAAGGGTAATCAGACATAAGCTTCTATTCTTCAGAAGCAAAAATTTTCTCAAAGATGGAAAGATTTATACAGAAATCGGGGAACAAAGCTAAAATGAATGTTACACCATCTGTTGAGGAAAGCAGTTTTGAAATGCAAAAATGTTTAGATACAAGAATTTTTAATATGATAAAAGACAATTAAAACTAATATCATTAATTAAAGAAGATAAATTTTTGTTACTTCAAGGAAATCCAAGATAATCATAGTTGATTATTTAAGTGATTCTCAAACTTTTTTTAGTATTGCAACCCCATTTTAGGTGTTAGCCATCCCAAACTCTCAAGAATATGTATTTTATAGTATGTTTGGAGCCATTTGTTCAGCCATTATGCAGTTTTTCACCAACATTACAACCCCGCCCCCCCCTCCCAAAAAAATCTGTGACCCATAGTTTGAAGGTCACTGAATTATTTAACAATAATTTTGAATTAACTTCTGCGATTATTCTTCTTCCAAAACCCGACTTTTCAACCAGTGAATTAGATACAGGTCTCTATGTCACTAAATTCACCGATTCATGTAAGCATTGATGGTATCCTGATCACAAACTACTGGGCCAATTCGTACAGTAACTACCCTTCCTTCGAAAGTTCATTAAAACTGACAGGGCAGATGTATGAAAAGAAACAATTCAGGGTGAAAAAACAGGTCTTGCTACAGAGTTGTGTGTAGAATTTTAAATCAAATAAAATAATTAATGAGGTATAATTAATTTATTTCTGTTTTCATAATTCATGAAGATAATTATTTTAGTCTATATACCACAATTAATACAGAAATTTTATGATTAAAAGAATTAAAAATTTGAAATATAAACAGACTAAATGGATTTTTATTCTGAAAGCTTACACTGTATAATTATACTGGTAGATGTGATTAGAATTCAGATTATCTATTTTTTTTCCACAAATAAGAAGAGCTAATTACTGTTATAAAAAATAATATTAAAAAAAAAACTCAGCTAAAAAAAAAAAAATCAACTGTATTTGAAGTATATTTCTTTATTGATTAAAAATCAAACAGGGAAAGCAAGTCATAAAATGATGAAAAATTTATTATATTTATTTAATTTAAAAATTAGATGTGACTTAATTAGAAATAACAAAGTGTGCAGAATTAAAAAATCTGTAATTTAGTATTCTAATTTTTTGTCCATATTATTTGATATACTGCTTGGGTATTTTTCATCCATATGGTCTGGTAAGTGTTACCATTTCTCAAGGCATAAGATTTTCATTTGTCATTCATGAAGCCTGGTGAATTGCTAGTTCTGCAGCTGCTGTTCATTTGATTTTCATACAATTTTAATTAACCTTTCAAACAGAAACATTACATTGCTTAACTAATTGAAAAATTCAAAAGCAATATACATACTTCTTAATAATTCATACTTTTATTTTATCTTTTAGTAGTAATTGTAATACTTTATATTACATCACTTGATTTATAATATATTTAAGTGATAATTTTATAAACATTTCTGTCAATATTTTAATTAATTAAAATAATTTCTAATGCACTAATACTATGCACTTAATTAAAGAATAATAATTTGTGGTCCTTCTAACAATGAGCTTGAATCGCATGTATTATATATACATTAAAAACATATTATTAGTATTATACCTCATCATTCCTTCTTTTTCTCTGGATTCATGCTTATTTTTACCCTTTTCTTTCAGTTTTCAAGGACGATGGGTAACAGCTGATTACTTCAACCAGATCATAATTAGTCCTACAATGTTATCAGACCACATGCCTCATGCAGTGTATAATGCTCTAAAGCAATTGACAAGTAATTCTGGAAATTTCATTCCATAACCTATGTTTGTTGCTAGTTTAAAAAGAAAAAATACTATATTATTAAGAATCTAATACGTACAGTTTGCCATTTTCAAAGTTTGTAAGGAGCATTAATCAATTAGTTTGATATATATATCGAACAATATGAAATGTATTATTTAGCATTACATGAAACAAGTGTCTTTTATTATCTGGAAATTAAAATGTATGCAGCATTGGATTTAGGTGCAAAACAACTTTTATGCAATATATTGCGTTAATTGTAAAGTAATTTTTCTTCATGTGAGTTAATCAAAAACATTTTCTGAATAAAGTTAAAAACAAATAATGATGTGCAGAACATGTTTAAAATGGTTACATTTTTGTTCATGTATTATTTATTCTGTTTTGTCCTTAAGAATTTCTATTATAAGCAGGGGTTTAGTTTTTCCAGTGCTAGATGTATTCATTTGTAGTGTTTTTAAAAGTATTCTTATAATGAGGATCTTAACTGTAAAGTTTGATCCTTTAATTATTTTTCTGTATATTTTAGAATTATATAGGGTTTTTTAAGTAGAGGATCACATGTATAAAATAATTACAAATGAGTATTATATAAAGTAATTACAAATGGTAATGGCATTGTAATACTTATGAAGTAATTACATATATAAAGTAATTGCGTATAAAGTAATTACAAGTGCCTGGTAAACAGCATTTACTTTACACCACTGTTCAAATTTAATAATGATTACAATGGCACATGTTAGCACAGATTGATTTTTACATTTTGTAGTATAGCTTCCATGAATTTCAGTGACTTTTTTCCCATGAGTGTAGTAGCTTTATATTGCCAATAGATTTATTGATAAAAGAACAGAGCAAGGATCTGCACATATATTATCAAAAATTGTGTGGAAATGAATGCTTTAGAGTTGGTCAGTCTGCCTGAGTACTGATTCAAGGAAGCAATATACATTACTGAGTGAATCAACAGCTTGATTTCAGAAAATGGAGTAGTTGCTCTTTTACAGTTCACTGAGAACTTTTATTGGAAGCATGCCAGAAATAGAGATGTACTATTCATTCACAAACTGATTCACTTTACTGATTGAGCAGCTGCCTGATTTGCCAAGAAAGAGTGGAAGAAGTATGCCAGGAAAGTTTGATTCCCATTTTAGGGGAGAAAAGAATGTTTATTCTCCCATGTTAAAAGTGAGTTTATTATTTCCCAAATTTTTGAGGAATATTTGGGATTTAGGTTTTGATTTAGTCAGTTCTTCTGATTCCATTGTTCGTTCACTCCTTTCCACTATTCACTCTATCCTCATGAACAGCTCTTGATTGACTCCTTGTTCTTGATGTTTTTAATCAAGGTAATTGTTAGTGATCAGTGAATCAAAAGGAACTGATTCAGTTCAGTGAATAAATGGTTCTGTTCAATCCCATAACAGAGAAATTTTGTTGATCTCTAGTTCCTATAGGTTTCTTGAGTGAATTTCATACAACTTTTTGTATCCTCATATTATGAGCAGGTCACAGAGAATACTAGCCACATGTCAACAGACATTCTGATGAAGGATAATGGAGATATCAAAAATTGTTACTGTTCTTTTACATGTGTATAGAAGATATTAAGATTGCATGTAACAAGCAAGATCTGCCAATCTTGAACTCTCAGTACTTTTGAAGAAGAAATATGCTCCCTTGTGCATCTAAAGTGATGGGTTGCCCATACTCATTCATCATTTTCTCACATCCACATGTGAATGTATTAACTCTTCCAAATGATAATATCATTACTAAGTGGCTCCACAAGTTTCTGCAAATCCTTTTAACCCTTCTTTTTGTCGTATTCCTCTTTGGAGTTTCAGTTTGAAGTCAGGAACACCAGAGAACATGGTCTGTACACATTTGCCGCAATATGCAAAGTGTAACATTGATGGGCAACACATGGAAGAGCAGTGACTATAGGAACTTTGCGTGTAAAGGTTCAGTTTTACATGAAACAAACTTTCATGAAGTGTAGATATCGCATTTCTTCCTTTTTGTATTCATTGTTGAATTTACTATATTTTCATCTGTATCAATCTCAACACATTATGCTCTTAATGATTTATCATTTTCTATATAGCTCATTGTGCTAATGGCTCTCTTTAACATGTTGCTAATGTATCATCCTTAGTACTGAAATTTCGAGAGAAGTTAATTTGCATATTATATTATACTCTTTTAAAGGCTTCAAAAGTGATAACCAAAAACAGTTACTGGGGCAATATTGATGTGCAGCAAAAAATATACTTGTCACTTTGAGTATGGGAGACCTGAAAAAGTGGACATACATCAAATCTTCCTTGAAATCTACAATTTTGTTCATTGCAATCTAATATTGTTTCTTAAAATTGTAATTTTTGTAATTGTTAATTTGTTTTTTGTAATTGAATTTTTTGCCATTTTTTAATTATCTGACAATAATCAAAATATATAATTTTATGTGTGTATTAATTTTACTGTTAAAATATATATTTTTTACTTAGATTTTAAAGAAATTAGATATAATGTAGGTAGACTTGTGCAAAAAGTACTGATAATTTTCCTGTGAGATTAAAAAATGTATACTTGTCATTTTTCATTTTTGGCATTTTTTATATTGTGCATATGTATCTTTGTCCATTACCTTGTACAGATTATACGTATGTAAATTCAAAATTGAGAGAGGGAAAAGTCCGTAATTCGGACTCGTCGGGACTTCGGCGATTCCGGATTAGGGATTTTTCTGGATTATAGATCATTAATTTAAATCTGGTAAGATGGCATGCAGAAATTATACAATTAAAAATATGAAACCGTAATTTATGAAATAAAGAGCAATTATGGCCTTAAAGGGTATCAAAATTTACAAAAAAAAAAAAAAAAAAAAAGAAGCTTAATATTTATTTGTTTACTTTATTAAACATTTCTTTCAGTGCGCGCATGCGTAAAGCATACATTACGCGCATACGTAAAGTTTGTGACTTTGAGGTCCGTATTATAGATCATTCCGGATAATGGACATCGATTACAAACTTTGTACTGTACAAATATTCAGCTTTTTATCAAATATTTTAGTATTTGTAGACAAGTTGAGCAAGATAGAATATGGATGAAGCGTTTTAATTTACCAAACAAGATTTGTGTTTATTGCATTTATTTTTAATGATGATGATAGAGCTTCTTTAGTTATTTATTTTGTCATAAGTTTAATTTTAATGTGTGTCATAACTTTTATTTATTTTCTTTTACTAATATTTGCAATGATTGATGCCTGGCACAACTTTCTCTTTAATTAAATCCCTGCTTATATATACTGTGCCAAGAAGTTTGAATGAAAATATTTTTAGTTTTTGTCTTGTTAAATTCTTATTTTAAATTTCATATGTTGCTAGTTTTGTTGCAGAATTCTGTTTTTATGAAAGTATTTCAATTTTTATCAAATTCTAGTTCTAGATAGCTATGTGTCATGTTTCAAGGCATATAGGTAAAAGAAAAATTATTTAATCCAGTGGTTCTTAGTTCAAGTTACAAATAAAATTGCCTGTTTATAAATAGCTGCTAGAATAATTTAAGCTTAAAGTTGAAATTGCGCATATTGTAAATATAAGCAAGTTAATTTATCAAAGCAAATTCTTAAAGAGAATTTTTTAATTTTCTGAGAGAAATTGCCTTATATTTATATTATTCATGTTGAAAACACATGCATCTTCCCCCCCCCAAAAAAAAAACAAGGAAAAGGGGAGAGATTAAGCTAATTTTGGATGTCAGGATTTCAAACTTGTATTACTGCAGTTTTTAGTTGCTTTCCCAGTGATGGGCTGTTAACCCTTAGGACTCCTATGTCGAGTGTGGCTTGACATCGTATTTCTTGCACCAACTCCTTTGTCGAGCTAGACTCGACATTATACATGGTAATTTCCAAAATAATTGAAAATGTTTAAAACTTTTTTTTTTCCAGATTTTTTGTACTATGTAAACAAAGACTAAATTTATCATATTTGGCCAATTTATATTATTTTTAATTCTTTTTAGTGTTATTTTTACATTAGGATCCAAAAAATCGTTTGTAGTATGGTGTAGTGGTCAAACACGCTACCCAAAGCCTCTGCTGTATTTCAGGGTTGAAATGACTCCAAACTTAAGTTATAAAACAATAGCAAAAATTTTAATAAAAATATAAATTTAAGAAGTTAAGATTACATTGATCTGGTATGCGGATAACACTTAATTCAATAGTACTGCTAAACGGTTACAAATGCACTGTGCTAAAACAACAGCATATTCGGAGAGATTAGTCGCTGCTAAATCTCCTAGCACAAGAAGATACTCCAAGCCAACAATGCTACCTCCAGTATTCCAGTGGACGTACGGTCTTCTAGCTTGGTAAAGTTAAATCGTTGAACATGCAGACGATAATTTCGAACCCCTGTATACACTTACTGAGGTATTCAGCTACGCTTTTCTTGAAACAACGTCGCTTCATGATGTCCAAACCTTGACTACCCCGTCACTTGTCACAGGCTAAATCATAACGAGAATATCCCCTCGGGTAAGAAGCAGGTACAGTTGCAATCTCCAAACTGCATTTAAAGCCCCGTGCAAGAGTCCCTTTGTCTGGGAACTATTCCTTGGAGGGCAAGATAAGGAATATCTGCATGACCTTGTCACAGTAGTGCTCTCTTTAGGAAAGCAAGTTCCCGACGCTTTAGAGAAAAATCATATTTTTTGCCATCTTTGATATTTTGTTTACATAAAAACATATGTTTTAATTAAGATAATAATAATTGAACTGCTATATTTATTTTATGTGCTAATAAGTATAAAAGTATAGATGCCTTGAATCAAGACAAAAACAATAATTCACCAATGAATATAAAAGTAGTGATGACGAATGTATGACGCAAATAGATAATGAATTTGAATTATTGGAAGATGATAAAAATTTTACAAAAGCGTCTGAGCTATTGTTTTCAGTTCCTTCTCAAACCGAGACCGATCTGACGAGGAAATTTTTGTAAGAAGACTTATAAATGGTAAATGACAATAGCAATTAGCAACTGTCTATTTCTACATATAATAGGCAGTTTGTTGGAAATGATGAAACATTATGGACAAATGTCACTGAGACAATTATCGTCATAACATAAAATTCTCAGTTGGTTAAAATGTTGTTGGGCCACAAGTTCCATCCAGCTGCACATTAACTCTAGAATTTTTTTAGTCGTTTTTAGCTCCTACTCTACTAAAAAATAGTGAGTGAAACTAATGCACATGTAGCAAAAATAATATCAGAAAAAACACCGAGCAAATATTCTATTTGGTAAAATTGGAAAGATGTAAAGATTTTGGAAAGATTGTCAATTGTCAACAAATTGGAAAGATTGTCACTGAGAGTGAAATGAGGGCCTTTACTAGTGTCGTCATAAATATGGGTCTTGTTGTTTCATCAGCTTTGAAATCATACTGATCTCAAGCATTTCATTTGAAGATGTCATTTTTTAGAAACATTTTTTGTAACAAACGTTTTTTCAAAATATTTTGGTCACTACATTTGGAAACAATTCCGCAAAACACTCGCAAGACGAGGACAAGGATGGAAAGAGTGATCAGCTTTCTGGATCACCTAAACCAAAAATTTATGGAAAATTATATATATCGCGAAAATTTGGCAGTTGACAAATCTACAATCTCGTTCAAGGAGAAAATAATCTTTCCCATGTCTAACCCTAAAAAACTAACAAAATGGGAACTTCGAGTTTATGTTTTAGCAAATTCTAAGACAAGTTATTTATATACATTTGTTCCATATTATGGTAAAATTACAACATACGGCTTAATTAGACCAGATCTTAATTTCACTAGCAGAATTGTGATGCAACTCTATCGAAATTTATGACATTTGATTCCTGAAGGATATAGTGTTTTTACTGACAGATTTTATACAAACCCCCACTTTAGGTGCAGAACTTCTAAAACCCAATTGCGTTCTTACTGGAACAATTATGACTAATCGAAAAGGACTTCCAGAAAAAAATAATAATAAATAATTAGCTGTTAGACTTAAAATTGCTTATAGAAAAGAAAAAACGTTGGTAACACGGCGTGACAAAAGAGTCACAATGTTTAGTACAAAACAATCTACTGTTTCACATCCTCTGAGAAAAAGATCAAAGATGACTGAAAATACTAGTGAAAAAGAAATAAAGAAACTGACTATCATATTAGATTATAGAGAAAATTTATTGACGAGTCTAATCAAAGACTTTCGTGCTCCTACACAAAAAACACGGATGATTATCCACAGATGATACTATCTAATGTTTAGATGGGAAGACTCATTTTTTCTCATAAAAAAACACAAGGACTGTTTGGTGTGTTCCAACTGGAAGGTCAAAGGAATGAGAAAAAAAAACATTCTATTGTGATACTTGTGTTAGGAAACCCTGTCTTTATCCAGGAGAATGTTTTAAAAAATATGATACTTTGAAAAATTATAAACAATTAAGGTAAATAAATTGATTAAACATATAAATTTATATTTATTTACTATCCTACTACTTAATATAATCGAAAAAATATCTGTTACACACTCTGCACAGTTTTAATACAACTTTATATTGAGACCCTCTTTTTTTATCTGTTTGGTAAATGAATTAAAGAATTGTTGGTAAGTAAGGAAAAAAAAAACATTAAGGTGTGGAAAAGGTTAATGTATACACATGAAGATTTGTTTTAACTGAAAGTAAATAATTATTATTTTCAATTGTATTTAATTAATGTGATGTCATAACGAGTTATTTACTTTCTTGAATTTTTACTGACATTTTGCAAAAATCATTCCTATGATAAAAGATTCAGACTATTTTTCCAAGCAGTGCTACCATGCTGATGATACTTTTTAAGTATTTGTTAAAGAAAGCATTATCTTGATTGTCCTAAAATATTACATTGTTATAGAGATTTATGTGAGACGTTTTACTGAATCATCAGAAATTACAATTGCTGTAGGTCTGTTCATGAAGAAAATTATTTGGATTAGCAGAATTTTTTTCCAAGGAAATATATTATCTTCTTCTGTAGAATATTTTGTTCTCAAAACCACTATCACAATCTGAATTTTATAAAAAGCATTGAGTAAATCACTTTAAATAGTAAGTATATATAAATCACTAGTAAGGATAAGTAAACCACTTTAAAAATAAAGCTAATAAGAACTAACGTAAATGCAAAACTTCATGACTGAAGCTTAAATATTTAAAAAATAAAAAAATAAGTAAAAGATAAGAATTTAAAAAAAAAATGGGATGACTAAGTATTTGTAAATGTTTATTTATCAGCAAAAATGATGTTTTCTTTTAGAATTGTAATTTTTATACAATTTAACCCTCTGATTGGCCAGGGTTTTCACTAAGAAAGCACAAATTTCCCAAAACTACTATGAAAATAAATTATTTTTTTGATTTTAATATAATTTTAATATATTTCTTCTGGTATTACATACCTGGATTTGTGTGCTTTTGATATATTGCCTTAATTTCGTTGACATATTTTAATATGTATGTTCTTATAGATATCACAAAAATATTGTAGGCTGTACATTTACGGCCTTGCCACTTAGAGGGTTAAGTTCAAAAGGATTGGTTTCTTGAATGTTTTCATCTTTTTAGAAGTGTGTAATTAATTATGAAGGTCTTTTTATAACAAGTTTAAAAATATTAACATTAAATGGGAAACAATATTGTTTCAAAGAGCCACTGGACGAAGTAATTTACATCAA